AACTATTTCCTAGTCCAATTCATATACGTTTTCATCTAAAGATTGAACTTAAAAGTATCCCTAGTCGGATTTCAGGTATCAATCGTGTCATAAACTCACCCCTTTTCGAGCTCTATTGACTGGCGTACTTCAGGAATACAAGTGTTGACGATTGACAGAACTTTACCTGAACTGTCAATTTTCCACTGATGAACATACTCTATATTGAGAAGAATAAGAAATAAAAGAAATATAACAAATTTTACATTCCACTGCATTTCTATCAAATTCCCTTTAGGATATAAATTACCTTTTTTTTTTCATTTTGACATGTTTTTTTCCCATAGACCTATTTTGCATAGTCTCTCAGTATTTGTTCTCTTCAAAGACACAGAAAATAACCAAATAGATAATAATAATAAATAATTTATATCGCTACAGGTTAATTTCTCTTCTACAATGTTCTGTTTTCTAGCGAACGTCTCCATTTTTACCGGAATATATTTTCCTGCTTTCGGTATTACTGACCTACAACGTGTGTGTATGCGAATAAAATGATTGTACTTACATACAAATTGTATTCAATTGAGTATTGAACGTAACATTACAACGCAAAAATGGAAGTAAGGTATTTCAAGAAGTTGAAATATGCAGATACACCCTACAACCCAAGAGCCATTGAAGCTATTATTACTCCAATATTTAGTTAGTCATTATGTCGACACCAAGTAAGATAATTTCCTCCTTTATATAGTTATGCTGCCTTGAGGACTTATTTTTCTTATTGTGCTCTTATTCGAATAACACGCAGTACCTTCGAACAGTTCATTGTATCCAAAACCAAGATTACACTTGTATACCAGATATACTGATTGGTGAATAATGTGTATGTACAAGGTTATCATAAAGTCAGGATATACGAGGCGCGTTCATAAAGTAAGGGCCGTTTGGTCATAGAAAAAAATGTACTCATAAGAAACAAATTTTATTGTCATATTTAGTTAGGTACAATCTTACTTTACTTCTCTTCATAATCGCCGTTCACTTCTAATCATTTTTCGTACCGCTGCACCAGCTTCTTTAACCCCTCTGCATAGAAGCTTGCCGCCTGAGAGTTGGACCAGTTGACAACGGCGTTTTTGAGTCCCTCTTCGGTTTCAAAACGTTGTCCACCGAGCCACTGTTTAAAATGCAAGAATAGGAAGTAGTCGCTAGGTGCAAGGTCGGGACTGTACGGTGGGTAGTCAAAAAGTTCCCAACGAAAATCTTGAATGTTCTCATTGGTTTTGGCAGCAGTGTGAGGACGCGCGTTATCGTGGAGGAGGATTATGCAAGATGACAGTTTCCCGCGGCGTTTGTTTTGGATCGCACGTCTCAATTTTTTGAGCGTTTCGCAGTACACGTCAGCTGTAATTATTATCCCACATTCCATGAAATCAACCAAAAGAACACCGTCTTTGTCCCAAAAAAACTATAGCCATCAAATTTCGACTTGTGTACTGAGTTTGCTTAAACTTTTTTCGGTTTTGGTGAAGATGAGTGTCGCCACTGCATCGATTGCAGTTTTGTTTCTGGGTTGGCGTAGGATACCCACGTCTCGTCCCCAGTAACAATGTGAGAAAACAAATCATCTCCATCTTGTTGATAACGGGCCAAAAACTTTCGTCCACTAGACATTCTTTGCTCTTTGTGGTGGTCGGTGAGCATTTTTGGTACCCCCTTGCACACAATTTGCGGTATGCGAGGTTTTCTGTGACAATATTGTAAACAGTAGTGCGTCCAAGTTGAGGAAATTTGTTAGCCAGGCCACTAATCGTCAATCGACGATCAAATCGCAGTGTTTGGTCCACTTGTGAAACGATTTCATCGGTCTGGATACTGGGCCTGCCACTCCGCTCTTCGTCATGGACATTTGTTCGGCCATTTTTAAAATCACGGCACCATTTTCTAACCTTTCCTTCACTCATAACTGTAGGTCCGTAAACCAGGCATAACTCCCGATGAATTTCAGCAGCCGACGATCCTTTTGCACATAAGAAACAAATCACAGAACGCACTTCACAGTTGGCGGGATCAACGATTTTCGCGGCCATTGTTCTTTGCATTCACGGACAACAATACGACTTCAGAATCAAAACAAATAACGCTGTAGTTTCGCAATGAGTCAGTAGATGGCGCTGCAGTAGTAAAACTGTGCTTCGAAGCGCCAATATTTATATATAAGCAAACGGCCCTTAGTTTATGAACGCGCCTCGTACTTTTTAAGTTCTTATACAGTTTTAGGATCCCGAAATAATTTCAAAAATGAATTAGATTTTAGTGTGTCTATGGAAAACAAAACATTTATTATAACAACTAGTGACACAAGTGTCAAAACAATGCGACTGCAAAGCAGTGAATTATTGTCAAAATAAGACTGATCTTAAGTAAACTCACACGATATTGATTTTAAAAAATGGATCTGCAAACAAGAATAAAATTAGTAGAATGTTATGATGAATGTGGTAGAAATTGCATTGTTGGTTTACGAAGATTTCGTTCGAGAATGGATTAGAGTAGGCCCCTGTAAGATGAAAACGTACCATAATTTTGAAACGTACCATACAAATTTGAAAAAAGAGGGTCTGTAAGCTGTTACTGAGGTCAGGAACACGAAAACTTAGTGATGTCCAAGCTACAGAAGTTCTTCAGGAAATTCAAAATACACTAATATTCAATACTAATCTGTTACCAATCAGTAGTTCTAATTCAATTCAAAATGACTACCACATACCACGGTTTGGACAATTTTACGCATTTACCGACCAGTTAACTGTCGTTTTTCAAGGCTTACAACAAAATGCAGATATTTTGGAAATTCATGGCCACCAAGATTAGTCGACAAATCGACCAAATACAAAATCCGCTAGATTTTGACCTAGCGTATTTTAGCTTTGCAATGTTCTCTAAAAAGTATTTAGAATACAACAACTGGAAGAATTAAAACGCTGTAATACTAAAAGAAGTGTTGTACGAGGTGTGACTATTAAATAACCGAACTGCTGCCATAACACTTTTTAATCGTTACCAATTACTGTAACAACTTTTTCGCCTTCAATGTACTCTCCTTGGCGATCTCTACACCGCTCCGTACGACTTTTCCGTTGCTGAAAGCAGTGCTGGAAGTCCGCTTCTGTCAGCTGGTTCAGAACCTCCATCGCTTTTGCTTTAACCGCTTCCACACTTTCGAATTTTGTCCTTTTCAGTGTCACCGTGTCTATCAAGCCTGGGTCCTGGATCAGTGTCAATGTTGTTTAGAATGTCAGTGCAAATGTTCATTCTTGATTCCTTTTGCTAGGGAGTGACGAGTTTTGGCACCATTTTTGCACAGACTTTGCGCATATTGAACGATTCATGCAACATCTGGCGAACACATTGTTTGTCGATTCCTGTTATTTCAGCAAGCTCTCGGATGCTTAGACGACGATCTTCACGGATTAGTTTATCAATTTTTTCGTACGTTTTTTGACGTTGAGGGCCGTCCGGGGCACGGATCGTATTCGGCCGTTTCATGCCTCTCTTTAAACCGTTTAAACCAATCAAAAAATTGTGTGCAGGATAAACATTCAGTCCCGTACTCTTCTTTTAATATTGCATGAGTTTCTGTAAAAGTTTTCCCCTGATTAACGAGAAACTTGAGATTAACCCACTGCTACAATGAAACTGAGCGACCCACTGGCTTGTCCACGAGCTCATGGTGGGGAAGTATCACCAAACACAGTTCTGTTCAAACTTGTCGCGACACGCTCGCATCTCGCGGGCAGCAGCACCAGTTTGGTTATTTAATAGCCACACCTCGTATACTGCTGTATATAACTTGGAGGAAGGGTTGGAGCTTTTAAAAAGGAGGTCATATTGAACAGTTACGGTGTTGGATATAAGAAATCCTATTATTCAAGGAATTCAGTTTCTACTGATATTTGTTGCTGGCTTGATTTACTGTAATTGTATAAATAAGTTGAAAGTCATATTGAATAGTGTCGATAACCAGTGTTGGACACAAGAAATATTATACAACATATTATTATTCAAGGCATTCAGTTTCCACTGATTTTTGTTGTTGACTTAATATGTTGAAGTTGTACAGTAAGTTAAAATGTATCCCCTATTTTATGATAACCTTGTATATTTATAATTTCCGCATTGATGTCATAGAAGTAAAACGACTATCAAGAGTTAAAATGAGGCAATTAGCGGTGAAATTATAATTTCAAAGCACGTAATGTGAATAAATCTCTCACGAAATTACCTCTAGTTTACAACAAGGTAAAATTTGATCATTTCTATTTTTTAACACTTGCGTAGACAAGTAAACGCATAACGCTGTCTGGAACTACATAGCTGTATACTTATCAATGATATCGATTATGCAAATTGCATTGGTCTGCAGTGAAATTACAGAAAGTGAGTATAATACAAGGCAATTTTATTTACATACATATAGGTTAAATTTCATTTGTTTACTGAACAACATTAGTGACCGCATTAAGGGGAACACCACTCTAGCGGTCGAAAAAAAGGCCCAGTTGTGATCATTTATTGTGGGAGAATGAGAAGAGGAATATGATTTCATTTTGAGGGTTAATTAAATATGTATTAAACTATATAAAAAAATTTATTGCTATTTTCATACAAAATAGCGGCGATACAGCGTATCTTTAAAAACACCTTTATCGAAAAGCCCTCCACGGGCTGACAAATTTCTCGAAAAGTTTTAGACCTGGAACAAAAAACCAAAAATTTTCTTAATTTACATAATATTGGCTATAAAAGTACGTAGGGATTTTTTTTAAATTGATTTTTTGTAGAAAGTGTGCGCTAACGAAAAAAAAATCGATTTTTCACAGTAAATTGTTTATAAAAAAAATTACATTCTATCAAAAAATCATGCATGTCTCTCCTACTGGGCCATCTCTCTTTACTTTACCATACACATGAAAAAAACTCGGGACACACAACCAAAGTCTGTGACGGGTGCCAATTGCCACAGGTGGGATTCGAACCCGCGCAGATAATGGGTCTCGGAGTAATCACTATCTCCCATCTGGCGCTTTTCCCACTGAGCCATCGCTGCAAAAGACAGGAAAAGTCAGCAAAAAAATCTTGGCGTGTGTGACGAGACGAATCAATTATTCAGTTAACATACAAGGTGTGTAAATTAAGTAATGAGACTGGCAACATATCGCCCGATCTAGCAACATCGCGGAGACGGGACTTGGAAGGGTTAATATGTAATGCACCTTCGGTACAACTTTGACTGTTTTCGTAAAACGGTTTCTACTGCGTTTTAAAAATGAGTGACATTAATTTTGAGCAACGGTGTGCTATCAAGTTTTGCTTCAGAGTTGGACACAGCGCAACGGTTACTTCAACACGCCCACGGAGACAGTGGTTTTTTAAGAACCCAGGTTTTTTCGGCAGTTTAAGGCATTCTCAGAAGGAAGAGAGTCGATTAAAGATGAACCACGCAGCGGAAGGCTTTCATCTTCAAGAACCAATGAAAATGTCTATAGAATACGGGATATTGTACGTTCAGATCATCGGTTGACAACAAGAATGATCGAGGACGACTTAAATTTGATCACACTACTGTTCATCAGATTTTGATTAACGAATTGGGAATGAGAAAAATTACGCAAAAATGGTTCCAAAAAACCTTTTGCAGGAACAAAAAAGATATCAGGAGAGAAAGGTGTCTTGACTTTTTTGGAATCGAATGAAAATGATCCCCACTTTATGGAACGTGTCATTACTGATGATGAGACTTGGGTGTTTGAGTACGACTCGGAACAAGTATACAGTTACAGACCCCAACAGTTACAGACCCCAACAGTTACAGAGTACAAGACCCAAAAAAAGCAGGAATGAGCAAGTCGAAGATCAAGTGCATGCTGATTTGCTCTTTTGATAGCCAGGGGATTATCCTCAAAGAGTTTGTGCCTCCAGGCCAAACAGTAAATAAACACTTTTAGAGAGAGGTTACTGAAAAACTTTGATGCGTGTGAGACCAAACATCAAGAATAACTGGATGTTTCCAGTAAACAGTAAAAGTTTCCAGTGACAGTAAAAACATCCCAGTGACTCCTCAGCCTCCTTATTCGCCTGACTTGAGCCCTTGTTACTTTTTTCTCTTTTCCGAGATTGAAAAAACGCTTCAAGGGACGTCATTTTGGGACCACAGAAAACATTCAAACGGCTGTAACCGACTATCTGAAGGTTATTTCACTATATTATTTCCAGCACTGCTATGAGGAATGGAAGAACCGTCTCCAGCGTTGTGTGGCTTCCCAAGGATGTTAGTTTGAAAGGCAATACTGAATTGTAATTTTATTTTAATAAATTTTAAAAAAAAAATCATTCTTAATTCTCATTACTTAATTTAGATACCTCGTAGTATGTTTTTTTTGCGGTCAACAAAATTTATTGTTTTTATTGACTTTCACTAAATGTCCTTCGTCCGAAGCCAATAACAGAATATAAAAAGATCACTATCAAATGACAAAATTAAAGGCGAAATGATGAAACCTAACCCTTTTGTACCAAATGACTTTGCAGTGGTTATAGTATTATTATTTTTAAATTGTAAGGATTTATGTACCAGCAGACCAATATTTAACGGTATTTTTCGTTGGGAAGAGGAGAAAACAATAATCCCCTTGCAAAGTTGAACATAAATTAAAGTCGCTGCTTTTTAAACAACCCACCGACATCCTAAATTGGCACAAAAAACGTATGCTCCGAAATTTCCTTATTTATTGTGAATTGGCAACCCGTTCGACCAGTTCTTTTAGACCAAAGATTTTAGTATCAGATTTGTGGGCGCATAAAATTTTATTTGCTGCTAAAGAGCAATGAATAGATTAAAAAGTGACATTCGGTGTTATTTGTCGGAACATTTTGTAGGACAGATGGCGTTTCTCGATGATACCTCTCAATTTTTTATGTCATCAAATGGAAATGAAGGAGGTAAAGTTGGTTTCGACGGAGTTGAACATCTGTGTTTTGTTTATTACCGTTTTAAACTGCATAATTTCATTAGCGGATATTATTCGCCATATTATTTATCTAAAAAACAGTTGCCTAAGAAATCACAACTTTCACTGCCCATAACATCTATGCAACGAAACGACACGTGAATAGCTAATATTCCAATTTAATTTGCCCTTCCCAATCTCATCAAGCAGATAGTAATTGTATCTTCCAAGTAACACTACCCAACTGTCAATCACCGATTTAAATGAAACTTTGCACACTCATAGAATACTAAAAAAATATTGAACCCCTGTTTTTTTTCTTCCGGGATATGCTTTTTAGGGGTATAAACCACCCCCTAAAAGGTGGTGAAAGCAAGAATTGCCGTAAATTAAATTAAAAAATACCAAAATATATGTTACAACATAAAATTTAATATGATTTATAATTTAATAACACGTATTTAAGTCACTAGCAGTGTCACTTTTTAACGCATCAATTAAAAAATTAGCTACTGAACGCCCGCAAGCATCGGTAGCTTCGTTTATAATACAATAAAATACACGAAATTGTCCGCAATGTCTTCGCGTATTGATGTTACTACATTGTCGTAAACCCGATCGACATATGCAAGTCTTAACGTACTTTCATGAGGAATTTTTCGGTATATATTTCGAAAGTATGATATATTGAGATTATACTGGAAGGAGGAAAAATCTAAATATTAAATATTTATGGAGTTATCGCATATATTCGAGAGCGCCGGGGCTCTACCTCATACCGCATACCGTAAACTAGCGAATAATGTAGCCGGAGCGCTTGGGGTAGAGTAACATTTCTTTCATAATACCTTTTCTGAAGAAAACCAGCTCGCTCTTCGAGGAGGCTGAAGGTTTATTATATGTATCTGAAATTGCTGATGGATCGGTAAGTCACTAAAACTGATAGTTTTAATGTACCTATTGGAACTTTAAACGCGATTATTTCGGAACTGTATTTTCAAAAACTGTCGTGCTGTAACTCAAAAAGTTATTGATCGATTTGACTGAATTTTTGTTTTGTTTTTATCTATATTATTATTGGTAAGTTCTAAAATTTCAAATATATCGAGTACTTACATTACTTTTTTGGGATAAAAATTGTCGAAAAAATAGTCGAAATTTTTAACCTTTAATTAAACAGCCTACTTATTTACCGGTTTTATACTTTTTTATAATTTGTAGGTTTATTCTTCCCCTGCACATGTCAATAACTGAAAAAAAAAATACTTTTTGGTTTCTGATCAATAGAAAAATTATGACAAATGCAGCACTTTTCGATGTCACGCCCAAGACGCCTGATGGAATGCCTTGTAAAGCCGCCATTTTGTTTAAAAAAAAAAAAGGAAAAACGTTTTTTCTACTCTTCAAAGTTGTAATAAAATTATGTTAAAACTTTAAAATGGTGTGTCTAATTTCACCTTTAAAAAAATTAATAAAAAAAATACTCGTTTTTGGGTGTCCAAAGGGCTTTCACTCCTTAATAATTATTTATTTTTTTATGTTTACTTACAGGCCAGCCGACCCTTCAGTCATTTTAGGGACCCAAAAGTATTTCCAATACTAAAAGCAGAGTTGGGCAGAATATGACTAAATGACTAATGACTAAAGTAAAATGAATAAACTTTAGTCATGACTAAATTAGTAATAGGATTTAGTCACGACTGCGATCTAGTCATGATTATTTGTTAGTCATACCAATGATTGATGGTTAGTAATGATTGAAGTTTAATCATTAGTCATTATTGAAGTTTAATCATTAGTCATGACTAACCATCAATCATTGGTATGACTAACAATTATGACTAACAATTCCCACAATTGTCAATTATGCTATTCCGTCAATTGTGATGTATGTTCATTTTCATTATTCTTGTTTTGTTCTGTTCACATTTGAGCAGATCAAGGTCAAATTGAGCTACGAACCTTGGGAATGTTGAATTTCATTACGGGAGGAGATTGGAGGAGGGAGATTGTCAATCGTTAATCGGTAATTCATTAATTGTTCAACTCACATTTCGGTCTAGTTGTGCAACAAACCTCGGGAATTTCGAATTTCATCACTAGAGGAGGGAAATAGAAGTTGGTAAATACAGGAAAATCTTGCAATTCTCGCAGTTTTCAACCGATTTTCATGATTCTTATTTTGTTCTACTCAGATTTGGGTCAAATTAAGCCACAAGCCTTGGGAATGTTGAATTTCATTACGGGAGGAGCAATGGAGGGGGGTAAGTAATGGTAAATGATAACATTTCCGCTATTGTCAATGGTTTTTTGATGATTCTTTTTTTTTTGTTCGATTCAGTTTCCAGACCAGTTGTACACCAAGCCTTGGTTATGTCTAAATTCATGACATTATTGGGGGGGGGGGGTTATAATATTTTCGCTATTGCCAACCGATGTAGTGATCTGTACACCACCTAATGGGACGTCCCTGTAATGCTTGCATTACTTATCAATATGTTTTAGTGAACTCTATTTTTTTAAGTTTTTAATACTTATTTTTTAATTTTTTAACTATTTTGGTTTTTTATAATTCCTTCTTATTTTTCAATTCGTAGTTCCAGTTTTTTTTTTGTGATTAGTCATGGCTGATAACTAATGATTGATGGTTACTCATGATTAATGGCTGCTGATTGGCGGTTAGTCGTGACTAATGAATAATGACTAATTTAGTCATGAGTGATTTCCGTAACTAATGATTAATTTAGTCATTAATCATTGTTGTTATGATTAATGAATAAATTAGTCATTAGTCGCTTTTGTTCATGACTAATGACTAAATTAGTCATTAGTCATCAATCGACTAAAATTTGCCCAACTCTGACTAAAAGTGCATTCAAACTATGCCATCAAGAATATGGAACACAATTGCAGTATATCTGATTGCCGTTACTGTTTTTTGCCAGGAAATACCTAACTTCTTAGCCAGAAGCAATTAATTTTATAAATGGTAATAAACCGTCGGCGAAGTTTTCTATGCACTTCTTTATATAAATAGCAACCTTGAATAATATTCCTTCTGAATGTTAAATGCGCTCGATCTTGTAGCATTTCCTTTTTC